TTCATTTTTCAGCCAGTTCCCTTTGATAAAAAGGTGTAGTGCTTTAGTGTTTTATGTTCGCCTTGCCATGCTCTACTTTTCCCCCTTATTAGAATCCATTTTTGGCCATTTCTTGAGTTTGGGGTTTGAAGCCAAGTTGTGATTTTGATGGGGCTTACTTGGGGGTTATGTTCATCGTGTTATCCCCGACAAAACCTAGAAGTTTCGTCGGATTCGAAGTGGTTTTGTTTTAGAGAGGATTTGAGATTTCATCTCAAATGGAGGTAGGGGGTGTTATTATTTCATATTATTGTTGTCTTGCATATTTTTGATGCTTATACAACTTGTATGCATGCTTTTGTCCATAATCTAGAATTTAATTTAATTATTTTCTAGGATTGAGATTTAATTCTGATGATGATATGTAACTTATAATTAAATTATGGCATGTTAGAAAATTATGCCTTGATATGGTTGTTGTCATATATTAAATTTGGATTATTTGGAAAAGAATTGCAAATTTTATTTAATATTTTTCTTTTGTGAAATATTAATTATCATGGTCGTATCTTGCATGAAATTAAGTTGTGATATGCTTTTAAATTAATTTTTGGCATGTTCTTTAACATACTTTAATTTGAGAGCATTTGGATGAGTATGAAAATCTAGAGATTTTGATTAAAAGCATTAATTAAAATCTATTTCAAAGGTTCCATTGGCTTACTTGTGTTTTAACTTGATAATTGTGATGACTAGGACTTGTGCACTAACATATATTAATTTGGGACCATTTAGAGTTGATTTGGAAATTAGAGATTTAATTATCATGATTTAATTAAATTCTATTTCATTGTTCCATGGATTTTGATTATGTTGTAGAAGTTGTTTCTATATTTAAATCATGGATTTGGACTTGTAGTGTAGTCACTTGGTTATGTTTTATGCATTGAGTACATTGTTGTTAAAATTATATTTATGAGAACATGTTTTCTTTATAGAATATATTATTGCCTTGTGTAATGATTTGCACACTTTGTAATTGACATTATGTATGTCATTTTAGAATTGAAATTCTAAAGCATGGATTGTGTGGTTTCAACCTACTTGTGCATGGAAGGTGATTTCGTGCATTATATAAATTATGTATAAGTTATGAACTTATTTGGTTTATTTTGGAGTCTTGGGACATTGTTACTTGTGATATGGCTAGAGTTTGGCTCTAGTGCAAGAGGTATGAGTTCTTCCCAATTGAGATAGTGCGCACTAGGGTGGTCTTCTCAGTGGGTTAATGCCCGGAATAATCATTTTGTTCTTGGTTTAGTCCGAGACGTGATGTCCAAGTCTTCTATTATTTGATTTCGCATTCAATTCCAAGTTGATAATCATGTTTAATTGTGACTTGTGGTTTTGGCTATTGGCGATTTGATGTTGTTAAGTACATCCATACTAAATTGTTATATTTAGTTGTTTTCACACTTTTAGATTTCAAGTTGATAACTTAGAGAATCTATATCTTGATGTGTGGTATTAGAATTCTAATTGTATTAAATTGTTTTATTTAGATGTTATCGCATTTTAGATTTCAAGGTGATGGCTTTGAGAACCTATGTCTTGATGTTTTGTATAGTATGCACCTATGTTGTTGAAATTGCATGAAAGATGTGATTTATGCTAGAAATGATTTAAGGTAGCTTAGGATGCTCCCTGAGTCTCACCTTTGACATAGATGTTAGATGACATGACCTTTTTAAAATTGTTTCATGTTGTTATAAAAATCCTTAAAGAAATCGAGTCGATGCATGCTCATTCTCTACGAGTAAACTTGTTTACTCACCCCGAAGTTACTTGGGGATTTGTTCAGGTACAGGATTCAAGATTTGGAGAATTGCTCTTGCCTTTGGTGGTTTGGAGAATTGATGTTCCTTTTAAAGCTTTCTTGTTCACATGCAAGTGTTAACATGTTTGAGTCTCATTATTGATGTTGTAACACTTTGTTGGGTTCAACATACTATTTTTGCCTTATGACATGTAAAGTGTACTTAGATACACTATTTAAAACCTATTCGATATGTATGATATGAGGCCAAGGGCCACTAACTTTAAAGTTCAAGTATATGCATTTTGATTCCAAGTTTAGTTTTGAAATGTAATCTCACTAACTTAGAGGTTTGACATGTCAAATTTTGTAAATATTATGTAATGAGGCCATGGGCCATTGTAGCACACTTTAATATGTAAATTACACTTGTTGGTATGCTTATATAGCTTAAAATCATGTTTTTGGTCCAATTTAATATTGGGGTTTGAGGCTTGGGTGAAGCCTCAACTTTTCACACTCATAACAGGAGTTTCAACAGCTTTTCGAGGAGTTTCGGTCGACTGAAACTCCAGTTCAGTCGACTGATGGCCCAAAACAGCCTACCGAACCAAGCAACCCTCAAAAACAAGGCTTTAGAAATGTTTCTGTGAGTTTTGGTCGACCAAAACTCACCTACTTCTATTTGGTAAACCAAAATTGCCCTCATTTGCGCAGCTCTTCAGTTTTGCTTCAGCACTGAAGTTCTAACTTCAAACGGCCATATCTTTTTCATTTCTAATCCAAATAGGGTTATTCTTAAGCCTTAACTCAAGGATTTTGAGTCAAATTTCCAATGGTACATATTCCATTCTCAAATTCCAAATAAAGTGGAAGTTATGCATGTTTTATTGAAGAAGTGTCAGTTTTCACTTCAATCGGGAAAGGTCATTTTGTGGGATTCTTGTCCAATGTTCTTGGAACCTCTTGGAATGTTAGGAAATGACTAGATTAGGTTTTATTCACCTTGTTTGACTTGTTTAGAGTCAATTTTCTCCTTTTATTTGTGAATTGACCATTTTGCCCTTTATTGACAAATTTGGCCCGTTTTAACTCTCGTTCCCTCTTTTGCTCTCTTCAACTTCCGTGACCTCATGGAATGTCACATTGGTGTCTTAGAGATGGTTTATATCTCTAAATTCTTTGGTTTATCTTTAGCTTCCACATTTCAGATCCGTTATCGGATCAACTTTCGGTTCATCACTAACGCACTGGGTTGAAAAACTTGGGCCGTCACAAGTGGTATCAGAGTTCCTAGGTTTAAATACCTTAGACAATGGGTTTTGGGTGCATATCATGCTTATGTTTCCATGCTCTATGTGTTTATGTGCTTCATGATAACATGTTTTGGTCTGATAACATGTTTATGTGCTTATGTGCTACATGTGGTATGTCATTTGTTTAGCATGATTTAAATTTTATTGTAAAGAACATGACATATGAGGTATGCTAGATTTGATTTGTATATGCATGGCTGAGTTGCATATTTGGCCGGACTTGGGATTAGTCATGGGATGTTCAAGTTGAGGTTGAGCTATTTGGTGAGTTTGCACTTAGTGCAATGGTTGGTGTGTTTGGTTTTGTTTAGGCACTCTTCCTTGAGGTTGTTGGTGATTGTCAGCATGGTTTTGTAGTAGTATAGGTTGATGTTGACCTAGCATTGGTTTGAGGTAGGTGGTAAGACACTTTTTGTTTAGGCTCTCATGATATGAGTCATTAGGCATTGCCACAGTGCTGGATTTGTTGGTTTTGGGCCATGTTGGGGTTATGGACCTCTTAGGATCCCTGGTTGTTAGGGATGATGCCTCTGGGATTGCATTTTTTGTGGGCAGGTACGTTATGGGTGGGTGCATGACACTGTCATGCTACCGTACAAGTGCAGTTCGGATGAATCAATGTCGGGTTTGTTTTGATAGGCGTTGTCCTTTTGATCGATGATGATGATGGTTGTTTTGGGGATCAGTCTTAGTGATTGATTTGGTTGTTGTTGGTATAGTTATAGTTGCCATTTTCCTAGAGTTCTCTTACGTGATGATGCTTTTGGGATCAAGTCGATTGTTTGATGCTTCGGGTAGAGAGAGCATTGCACTATTAGTGTCACTTGTAGTGTCACCTTTAGATTCGGAGATAGATTGTTAGAGGTTTTACCATTGTGGTAAGGGCTCACGTTTGCTTTGAGACAGGTAGTTGTTGCATTGATTTTTGGAGACAATTTAAGGCTAGGACTTGTAACAACCCGGATTTTTAAGTGTTGAAATTCAATTTATTTCATGACGTTTAAATTGTCATAGTTGATAATTTAATTTTTTTTATTTGAAGACTTACCCAATTTAAATATTTATTGGGTTTAAATTATGGTCACAAGGTATGCACTTGTATATATATATATTAAGTTTGATTGAGCATTTATTTTAAATTGGAGATTTACCAATTAGAAATTGGTTCATTGATTATTGAATTGGAGATTTAATTTTTATTTTATTTCATGATTTTAGTTATCATGGGAGATGGCAGCCGAAAATTGGTAGAAGAAAGAAGATTGAATATTTTATTTTGATTGAATTTACCCACTTTAGATTTTTAGTGGGAACAGAATTGGTTTACAGCTTTTGTATATATAAATGATCATATATATATATAGATATATATAAATTGTTGCATCAGTTTGTGATGAAGGAGCAAGTTGATTCCAAAAGTGGGTTTTGATTATATATCTATTATGGTGATGAAGGAAGCTTAATTGATGGGCTGGTCGAGATTTAGAAAGAAAAAGCGAAAATAGAATTGGTTATCCACGGGCCCCACTTGTTATTTAAAAGAGTTGAGAATGGTTTGATTTGGTTATGATATATATATATATATATATATATATATATATATATGTATGTATATATCTTGTCTGCCAAAATGAGGAGCCGAGATTGGGATGAGGTGAATGGGCAGGTGGCGAAAGGTGGAAGCCAATATGGGTTTTGATTTTGTGATAGTTGGCGGGTCCCACTTGATAGTATTAATGGGTTGAATTTATTACATATATATATATACATATATATATATATATAGCAATTGATGAAATGATGCATAAAGGAAGCAGTCGAGATTGTGAAAGGAAGAAAGATGAATTATGGTGGTAGGTCCCATTGATTGATATTTTGGCATTATTTATTTGACTTTGGCCTTTTTTCCACGTTCTGATGTGAGTTTAGATTGCATTCTTTGTATTTGGAATTTGATTGTTAAAGTGATATATGAAGTGATAAGGAAAAGTAAGAGATAAAGGTTGTGGCGGGTCCACTAAAGTTTGTTGTCCCCTAAGCAATTGAATTGATTCATTTTACTTTGAATTGATATTTATGAAATGTCGGTACAATTGTCTATATATATTGTGCCTTTTGGTGATGATACAGAAGAGAGAAATAAAGGAAACATTCACAGAGAAATCCGAGAGTTTCAGAGGGGGCTGGGAGCAGTGATGTTGATGACCCAGTGTTGATTTATTCATTTTACAGTGTAGGGGTCATCATACCTTGAATGGCTTGGATGATTTTATTTCAAATATTTTGTTGATTATTATTTTGCTAAAATTGTATATATGTATTTTGTTTAAAAGCATATATATATTTTTGTGAAGCAAATTTATCATGAAACTCTTTGAAATCATTGTTATGGTTTTTCCTACTGTCTCACCCCCCTACAGTTTCAGGTACCGAGGATGAACTTGGATTTATAGTTGCGGGCTTAGGTGGAAGAGTTGGAGTTGAGGAATTAAATTATTTTATTTAGAGATTTTTATGTATTTATTTGAGGAAATTGATTTAGTATCAATTTAATTAATTTGAGATGTTGTCTTATTTATTTGAGAAAATTTGATTGATTTTGTATCAATAAAGGGTATTTTATTTCTTTTGAGATCCTGGGTGTCTTTTATGAAGTATTTTGATTTAATGAAATTGAGGATTTTATTTAGAAAATTCGGGGCGTTAAAGAATGGTATCAAAGCATTGGTGTAATTAATTACTCTCCCTCATCCTTGGAGACTTGGGATTTTGCGTTTAGGGTTCTGATAGGATCCTGTGGAGTTCTCATCTAACTCATTGGCATCTTGAGTTGAGTTGAGTTCTCCTGTTGGTGTCTCTTAATGGTTAGCATTGGAACTATCCATTTTATCGTCGTTTGTTTTGTGTGGCGTTAGGATTCCACCTTGTGTTTGAGCCAGTATTGGGAAAGACTTTTAAACTCTTTCTTTCAGGGACCTTAGTGTTCATTCTGGGAGGTGATTCCTTTCCTCCCGTAACCTCATGGAAGGTCACTCTGGCTTCTTAGAGATGCATTGCATCTCCATGATCTTGTTTTTCTGTTTCCGCTACCGCATTTAGATCCGTTATCGGGTCAACCTTTGGTTCATCACAGGACGCACTAGCTTGAAAAACCAGGGCCGTCACAATAAGAGTATGGTTCAATGTAGTGATCTATTAAGCTTTTTAGAAGATCCATGTGATGACTTTAGGGCATTAGGTGTAAAGACACCCCTATAGACTTACAAACTCAAATCAACTAGGCTACAAATCAAAACAACTCTCATCATATCATTTCCCTACTCCCCACCTTTGGTGAGAAGCGCTCACTTCTCTTTTTTTTTTTTTTTAACTATTATGTGGGCCTTTCACTTTTTTGCGCGAGAATTCAATGCTTAATGAGATGAGAATCTCGGCTACTCGGTAAAAGGTTTTGTTATTAGCATTCAAGGTCATCTTGTCAAGAATGTTTTGGAGTCGGATCTCATAGCATTCTCACAAATAAGATGACATGGACCACAAAAGCAAGCATAATATCTAACTTTTGAAAAATTTGCTCCTAAATGGCATCCAAAGGCATAGAAGGAGTATTGAACTCTCAAGACATGAAATTTTGCAATTCAATGGAACATAAGCCTTAAAAGATCAAAGTCATTGCTAAAATGAATCTCAAATCTCAATCATGCAATTAAAGTTCAAACTTAAGTAGAATGCAACAAAACCATCTTACCCCCAAACTTAAACCGTACATTGTCCTCAATGTGCAATGAGAACAATGGAAAAGTTGGAAAGAATATACTGTGGTGGCAAAGCCTATGAAGCCCATCAATAATCTAATTTGAAAGATGACTCCCCCAAACTTGGATTCAAAAACCTATTTGAATAACCACACTAGCAAACTCACATCAAATATCACAATGGGATAAAGAATAATCCAATAAACATTCTAAGGCAATATGGAACAAAATGAAAGAGAGATATGAGATTAAGCCCTAGATAAAACATGAAAGAATGCATGACTACACATAAGGGCACAATGGTGAAAAGTTTTTATATTTTTCTTTTTATGAAAACATGTAAATAAACAAAATGCAGGAAACAATTTTTTTTTTTTTTTTTTAACACAAAGTATGTAGACAAGCAAAATAAAAGACAAGGAAATAAAAATGCAAGAAAATAAAGAATACAAAGAAATAATATATATATATATATATATATATATATATATATATATATATATATATATTTCATTGGAAATAAGGCATGTATGTACACAAGGGAAATAAAAGATAAGGAAATAAAATGCAAGTATTTAAAATTGCAAGAAAATAAAGAATGCAAAGAAACAATTTTTTCTTTTTTTTTTTTATAATTTTTTTTTTTTTTAATGAACAATGTACGATCAATTGTGGAAAGCCACGATTGATCGTAAATTTTATGATCGATAGATCCCGATAACATGTTTTCAGGCAAAATGGACTCTGCAGATCATGATCGGTGGTGATGAATCACGATCGATCGTGATGCTGTTTGGGCACACAAAAAAATGCTGAAATTTGGAATTTCTTTTTCTAAGGCAGAGCTTTTCAAAGGCACTAATTGCTTGAAATTTTTCAATGAAGTGCAATGGAATTATCTAGATGACGCAAGAAATGAAAAATAAAAAGAAACGGGGGAGAAATAGAGTTTGAAAAACTCTATGAAAGTAGTGTTTAACGTCTCTAGCAAGACGGGGTTGACTCACTAGTCGAAACTATCAAAAACTGGATAGAAAACATCCTCATTGATCCTTTTGTCAATTTTCCCCATTAGATCCTCTCTCACAACAATGAAATCATCTCCCCAAGGAATAACTTGAACATAAATGAAATATGTTACTTTTTTTCTCTCATCCACGGTCTTGAAAATAAAACAAATAATGGTTGGCCTTATATAATTTTTTCACTCTTGAAGTGTATTTAAAGAATAACTTCATTTGTTAATTGGCAAGGCAATGTCTTTCAAAGACTTAATTGGATTATTAGGAAACACACTCTCTTCATCCCTTTTCTCTTCCTCTAAATGAATCACCTTCTCCTCACTTTCTAAGGTGGCCTCAATGACTTTATCATCCAAATTATAAGGAATGTCTTCATAAATCATGTTGGGCTCTATTGGATTGTCCATTGGCTCACTTACCTCTTCTTCCTCCTCTATATAAGATAGAGTATTTGGTATTAGCTCACTTTCCTCATCTTCCAATTGCTCACTTTCTTCATCCTCCTCTATATAAATTAGAGTGCTTGCCATTTGCTTAAATGATGATGCTTGAAATGAATTGGACTCAATTTCATAAGGATTAAAATATGATGGAGGGGCATAAGGTGAAGGGATGAAATTTTAACCCAAACTTGGATCAAGCAATTCCAACATTCACATTCAAAATCCAAATACAAGAAAATATTGGCCTCAACAAGGACCGATGCATATAACAATTAAGTAAATGGCCTCGACAAGGACCTATGCTTGGACAAAAATATAATAATGTAATTAGCCTCGGCAAGGGCTATCTCTCAAGCATATATAATTGAACAATTAAGCTACAAGAATTCCAAGAATTGCTCACAAAGGTCCCAAGCAACAACGTCGAAATCCCAAGCTCGGTTTCCTTGTAGTCAAGTACCTAATTGAACAAGTAACTACGAATAAGAATAAAAAAAATAAAAAAAGAAACAATCAAATGAACACTATTATCTAGTTTAATTCCAACAAAAACAGTTAGTCCCCGGCAACGGCACCAAAAATTTGATGCTCTCTCTAGGTGTGCAGACAAAAGGTGTGTTTTTCTTTGGGAGTGTGTGCTATGAAAATGTGCTAAGTGTGCATCAAAGATTAAATATTTACAAACCACTTAACCCGTATACAATGAATTATAGTGAGAAAAGGATTGTCCACAGGGATTTGAAAGTACTTGGAATTAAACTTGGCTTAGTAGGTCAACAGATTGAAAAGAGTTTGGTTTGGTTTATTACTTTAATGATTAACTAAAAACATAAAATGTAGAACAAATTAGAGCTAAGAAAGTAGAGTTTATAAAATAGGAGAGGAGTCTTAAGGTATAGGAATCACCGCTAAGCTCATTCACTAAACCACAAGTCTTCATCTAATTGGGGAGAAATCATGTTGTAACCCAAATGTGTGCTACCAATTGCAACAATGAGCATGGATATCAAATACAAGCATGAATTGTCTACTTAACAACAAGTAACTAATGTGTAGCATAACTCATTAAGTCTAAGCATAAACCATCCAATTAATCCATAATTGTAGCACACATTAATATAGAGAATCATACAACTTGCAACAATAAGCATGGATTATCATATTCAAGCATGGATTGTCTGCCTATCTAGGAATTTAAATGCAATTACACTACAATTAAACTAAGACAATGAAATTAGGACAATTAAAATAAAGGTGTAGTACAATCCATCAAGCATAAGCTTAACCCATCATATTAATCAACAAGTATATCTAGTGAAATCCATACATACCCATCACTAAATCCTAAATTAATCACACATAAACATGCAACCAAAATAGAGAAAATAGTGTAGAGATATAATCTTCAACTAATTACACATAGACATATAACCAATCTAGAGAATTAATAGGAAGCATTCAACCATAGAAATCATAGGAAAAACCAAGATTCATATATTCACAAGGCTATAATATTCATTACAATAATAAATTCCCAAAAAAAAGACAAAGTTTAGGGTTTAGAGGATAGGCCTAGGGCTCATCAAAGCCCTAAGATGGTGTTTAGCCACTCATAGAATGGTGGATGTGGTCATAAAACCCTCAAGGGCTATCTCCAAACATGGCTCCAGCTTCTTCCTCTTGGTCTTCTTGGTAGAAACACTAGAGATCTTGATGTTCTTGTCTCTTTTATTCACAAAACCCTAATTCTAGAGAGAGAAAAAGTATGTAACTATCTATCTAAAATTAGCTAAATTTACTAACCCTTTACAAAGTGGTTCATTTTTCCTTTTATACAAGACCTTTGGAGGCCAAAATGGGTCAGAAATAAGCCCCAAAATCATTCAATCCTGCAGCCATTTGGTAGGCGAAGCCGGGAATAAAATAGCTTACTGTAGGCGAATCATAATCAATCATGGAATTCTATGATCGGTCGTGAATATCTGTGATCGATCGTAGCTGATGTGGTAGTCTTATCTTAACAACTGGCTGCCTTATCCGCTGAGCTGACGCTAATGTGGCATTACGAACGATCGTACTTCCTTGCGATCAATCGTGAATTGAATGAATGATGACATGGCGACCATAATTATCCGTTGTTGATGTGGCTACGAAAGATGACGTGGCCTGCCATCGATCATGGAAGATTAAGATCGATCGTACTCTGTTCCAGGGTAATTTTCTGAATTTTTTTGGATTTTCTACTTGAATTCAAAAAGGCTTTAATAGACTGTTTTTAGTGCTCGTTTGGCATAGCTTTTACTTATGTTTTTCCACAGAAGAAGAAGAAAAGTAGAAGCTATCACTTCTATTCAGCTTATTTGATAGTGTTTGGGAATTGCATTTTAGAACAGCTTTTAATGTTAGAAGAAC